TCCCCCCCCCTTCCTTTCAACCCCTCCACTCCACCCTGTGCCCCGAGCATGCACGTACTGAAGCTCCTCAGGGATCTCTAGATCCGGGATGACAATCTCCTCCTGAATCAAGGGGAGCGACTCCTCCTCGAGGTCACTGCACGAATCGAACATGACCCCCGAGTCCAGGGTCAGGGTCGTGGACTCGTAGTCACTGGCCACGGACTCCTCCCGTGTGTTGGCCAGTGTGGCGGTGGTGGTGGTGGCGGTGGAAGACTCGAAGTATGCCATGGAGTCGGCGCGGAGCCGCTCAAGGTCACCCGTGGGCATGGAGATGTCGTGGCTGGTCTTCCTCGGCAGGTGTAGCTTGTTGCCCTCCTGCAGGTTGCTCGCGATGTCCTGGTTGATGCGCGCCAGTTTCTCCGCCAGCAGCTTCTCTGAGATGATTTTGTCTTCTCCGGCCGCGAGAGACATCGCTCGACGCTTGGCAGGCATCGTCATTTCCGCCTCCTCCAACTCTTCCTCCTCGTCTTCCGGTGGATGGAAGGGACAGTTCTTCTTGTTGGGGCACTTGTGGTTGGGCAAGAGGAGGTACAGCTTCTGAACTTTCGCCATCTTGAGGTTATGTCCAGCAGTCGTTGGGAGTTTCAATTAAAAAACAGAGTATTCCTTGTTTGTTTGACTAGTGAACGGGTATCTTTAGAAATAATTCTCAAACACAACAGATCTGAGAAAGGATTGTCAACTTTTTGTTGCCTGACCTGACAAAATCTGCAGGAGGAACACACGACAGATGTAACGCTGAAGTTCACTGCCCGGTGGCAGCCATCACGATCTGTCCCAGTGTGGCTGTATGAATATGTAAACTTTAGCGCCCCCCACCCCCTCTCCCCCACCACAAATCGACACAACAAAATCCTTTACGAGGCACCACGATTGGTTAACAGATCAGCAGACAGCAACATTTACGGGGGATATTGAATGTTCTAGAGCCGCTCAACTGACGTAAAAGTTTACGTTTATTTCCTTGATACAAATTGCAAACAGATAAAGAAAACACACGATGTGTAGACGACCAGATGTAGGGCAAACAGCGACCCCCCCCATAAACCTCCGAGTGCTGTAAGGT